AAGTAATACGCTAAGAAGTAGATTACCTACCTTGTTCATCAGAAACGTAGGTAGTCGTTAAAAAGAGATTACCTCACTCTTTTCACTCGGAACCCACGCAATCGCTAAAAATAGATTACCTATCTCTTTCTCTATGAACATAGGTACTCGCTAAGAAGAGATTACCTACCTTTTTCATTATAAACGTAGGTAGTCGTTAAAAAGAGATAACTTCACTCTGATCACTCGGAACCCATGCAATCGCTAAAAATATATTACCTACCTCTTTCTCTATGAACATAGGTACTCGCTAAGAAGAGATTACCTACCTTTTTCATTATAAACGTAGGTAGTCGTTAAAAAGAGATAACTTCACTCTGATCACTCGGAACCCACGCAATCGCTAAAATAGATTACCTACCTCTTTCGCACTCTGATGGGGTTTCAGCACTGGCACATCAGACATGCGTATAGTGGCAGCTCCCACCTTATGTGTGCGCAACGACGAAAGCGCCAGGTGCTCAGGCACTTGCAACATCGCAGACAAGTCAATCGCGCCGTCTCTGTGGATACGTTCATGTCACATACACCAACAGGCATTCGCGATCAGGTCATATACAGACAGACGTGTATTCTTATCATAAGATTTTTGATACGGATTGCGTTTGGGGAGGATTTAATTCCGAAGGGACTTTCTTTGACATGGCCAACCTTTCGGCGTTGTGCGACAGGGCGGGCTTGTATTAACGTAAGGACATGCTTTATGGGGATGTGAACCATTCCCAGTGCAGTATGTGAAGGGACACTTACGCTGAATTCGTACGTGGAGAAGGAGGGCCACAAGGACGGAAAGGTAATTTAGCAAAGATTGTTATCATACAAACCGACACGAATGACAGATTATATGGCAGTTGTCAACACCTGATAAGTAGGGCACGTGATGAGTACAGCAAACAGAACGCGCAGAATGGGACGTACGTACATACACTTGCACTCGGTGGCTACGAAGATAGAAAGATACACCAAGTATCACAGGCAACAAACTCAACCCTGGCTCACTTACAGCCCATACAATCCCATATATACAAACCAAATTCAAACGTACTTACAATCTCATACATGCATGATTCTTGCAGTTCATAAAAAGACAACGCGATGGCGATATAGTTATACGCGTGTCGAAAAGGACAAGCAACCCCTAAAACCCTGCACCTACAGTTCGAACTGGCTGACCTCGAATACGAGATCGGCTGTTCCTGCCTCCCAGAACGACACCGGAATGCGCGACCCTAGACTCGACTGCTCTAGTTGATCTTGGTACTGTGGTAGGGGAATGTATACGTCAAACCAGCACACACCGCGTTGAGTGTATAGCTGAGGCTGTATCGTGATGCTAAAAACATTTATGTAAAACCAAGTATGAACAGATATCGCTATATAGTATATTTGATGACACCGGAATGCACGACCCTAGACTCGACTGCTCTAGTTGATCTTGGTTATATGGTAAGGGAATGTATCCGTAAAACCTGCACACACCACGCTGAGTGTATATAGTTAATATTAGTTATTTCCGAATGGCAGTAGCATACATTCTTATTAACCAATGGGAATGCTTAATTATTGACTAGTTGTGTGCGTCAGGTAGCTTTATATCCAATCGGGCTGAGGCTGTATCGAGTTACTTCATATTTTTATCTATGAACACGTATGAACCGATATCGATCTATAGCATATTCAAAGACGCCGGGTTGGGTGATTCACGGCTGTGCTGCTCAGTCTAGTCTTGAGACTGTGGTAGGAGCAACACACAAATTTGCTTCTTGTCGAATGAATGCATATGGATGAATTCAAGAGCCTCTTTCTTGAATTTTACCCCCATATAAATGACCCAAAACCCTCTTCCGATAGGGATTGCACTATTAACCCGGTATCAAACATATCAACGAATTGAAGGGTAGAGGAGTTCAAGTTCGGGCATTTTAAAGACTTTTTCTCCTTGGAAGTAATACCGTAGCTATCTTAGTTTAAAAGTTAAATAGCTTAACGGCCATATTAACATCCGAACACTATTTTCAACGTGATTTGTCGAGAAAAAAATTCTCAAAAAACCCAAATTGAAGCCACAGTGTAGCCACAGTGTAGCCACGCTGAAGCCACGCGAAGCCAATACGTAGCCAATTCGCAGCCAACGCGTAGCCACCGCGTAGCCAGCTCTCTGATATACTTCATAATTACCCTCATAGACATCGTACTAGCTACTTCAAGGTACCGACGTGCTTGTATTAATCTATTGTTTCAATTGGTAGTAAATATGACCCTGTTCAATCAGGTACTGTATTGGATCACCATTTCTCATCGGAAAGAAAATAGGTGATTTTCAAAAAAGGGGTACTTAAGGATAAGTAATTTTATCCATAACTTAGATTATTTATTTGCACACACACACACACATATATA